GTATAATGTCTCAAGAAAGTTTGAATAATTTAATATCGTCTAAAATTAGCGGTAAGATACAACTGAAATAATGTAAACACATACGCGCCAGTAGCCAAATGGCGCGTGTAGTGGTGCCAGTGAGCCAAGTCAATGCCAGCGCTACTGCCCTGGCATCCCTGTACTGGAATTATGTAAACCAGACATTACAGATCAACTAGAAGAAAAGTAAACTAATAGAAAATAAAACACATATAAAGATACATTTGTGATAAAAAAATAACAATTTGCTTTAAAAATTTTGCAAATCAATTTATCTTGACATTCTTACCAGAATCGATATCATGATTTTATTTCATAATTAATTACTTAATTCTTTAATTACAAAGTATGTTTTGCTATGGTTTTTCATCATTTGTAACTTAAGTAAATTTTGAACTTATGTAAATAAAAGTAGTCGTTACTTATATTATACTTCGACATCTAAGTTATCTTTAACAGTCCAAATAGTGTATTTTTAATATATTTTCATTTAATCTTCGCAAAAAAATGTCTTTATTTTATCCTGATAACAGATACTAGCAACGCTGATAGCGTTCCACATTAATCACATAATATTATGGTAAGCCTAATGAGTTTGGTATAATAAATTTTGATTACCCTCCTCGCAGACTCCCTCGCTTTAAACCCTGGCATTATGGTTCGAATAGGCGTTATTGTTGAGAAAGGTTTATTAAAAGCTATAATTAGCACCTTAATAAATATTCATAGCAAATTTTATGTCTCACTGATATTATAAATTCGAAAGTATAGATGGATGGATGTTTGTTTGAAGATATCTCTGGAACGGCTGAACGGAGCTCAATGAGATTTGGCATACTTATAGAACATAGTCTGGAAGAACATGTAGGATTTGGAGTCAAGCACTGGTTTATTCAATATAAAAAATGCCTTACTCCCACAAACTATTAGTTTTTCAATTATCTTAATCTGTCTTACAATAAATAGATATCAACGTTAAACTTTTTTATGTCATTCGTCATTTCTTTGTCAATGACGTCGTATTGTTCAATAGACTAAAACAATCTAGTATTGTTCAAGGAAGCAAAAAGCGATACAGCCAGATGGTCAAAGACACCACGGTCGATGGACCGCGTTGAGGCGCGCCCTGCCCACGGATATTGCGCGCTCTCCATTGTTCTATATCATTATTAATACCCGCTGTCGTTGCTTTGTTTTGGCGGGAAAGCGAGCGTTACGCTCGCCATTTTGTAAAGATGTTCGATTCAGTTCGATTATCATGAAATCAATCTCTCTTTTGAAAAAAATGTATTTTACTTTTCGATTATGAGAATTATTTGTTATTGCAAACTACATTTTTACAATCATACTTGTTGTATTGATTGCATGTGATTTATTAGATTTTGTACTCGAAAAATAATTAAATTTGTAGTGGTTAATTTGTTCGTAGAGCATTTACCGTGGGTTTCTGAGACCAATATACCGTTCAAAACATTATCTGTGTTTTGTCAAAAATAATGACATGGCTATGTTTTATACAGTTTTTGGTCTCAGAAATCAACGGTTAATGTAATCTAACTAGAACTAGAATTAAGTTTTCATTCCGAATCGAACTTCTATCGAAGAATATAAGGATAGTAGTAGTCTAAGACCGGACCGGACGTTAGACTCACAACAGTGAAAATACTCGAAACTATCCGACATCTACCTTATACTAACATTTATTCTCTAAGGTTCATTTTCATTCCAGTAATTACATAATGTTACTTAAATATATATAAGTTTAACTAAGACTAGCAATAACCCTTGACTTCGTCCGCACGGAATTGAAAAAAATCTAGTTATAATGCTTATATGACCAGGGGATTGTGTAGCTTACCAACAGTAAAAGAATATTTCAAATCGATTCAGTAGTTACAGAGCGTATTCAATGCAAACAAACAAACAAATCTTTCCTCTTTACAATATTACCTAAGTATGGATTACAATATACGAAGTGATGTTATGTATCCACCTCTACCCATCATGATAATCAAGTTAGTATGTAATTAAGTTAGAATAAATTATTTAAATGCTTACAACATTAAATACAATGACTATAATTATTTAACTTCATCATCAGCTCACTATACGTCCCCACCGAGGGGCTCGGAGCCTACCCTAAGTTAAGGGTGATTTCGTCATAGTCAATCACGCTGGCCCAGTGCGGGTTGGTTGACTTCACACATATCTTTGAATTGCTTCTCAGGTATATGCAGGTTGCACCACGATGTTTTTCTTCACCGTAAGAACGTCGGATAAATGTACATATGTAAATCGGAAATCGAAAAACACATTGGGTACATGGCGGGATTCGAACCCAGGACCTGCAGATTGCAATTCAAGTGCTTGACCACTGAGCCACCGACTTATTTAACTTAATAATTAATAATTTCAACGTTGTATTACTTCGTTAAAATACCACAAAATTTTGTTAATGCAACCGCTCTGTTACCTAACAAAGTAATTATTAAAGAACCAAGTAAACCACAAACAAGTAATTCTCTTATCTCATACAAAAACAGTTACTCAACTTTGACGATCGTTAGTCGATTGTTCTGGCCTATTCCGCGCAACACACGATGTTTATGCTAAGTAAACAGATAGGTAAATTAAATTCAAGGTTGTACTAACGGAGGTAGTCATAAAATCACGAAATAATACCAGTCCCACTCACCATGATGATAGGTTCTATATGGGCTCGAAAGTAGTCGGCGCCGACACCGGACAAAAACGTGAGTGTTTAGCCGAACTTAATTTGCTCATTGTGGAAATATAATGTGCTGTTTTAACAGTAAATGCATCCGAATTTTGATAACAGGAGCTTACACGACCAAGATATCTTAACAGTGAGAGACGCCAACAACAACATGTGTAGCACGAATGGGCCACTTCTCCCGGTGTAATGACACACACAAAGACAGGCGTGAAGTGAAAGTAATTCCTCATTTTATCTAATAAGTGTGTGTAGAAAGGATAGGGAGGTAATCGGAATACAGGAGGAGAGGCTTAGTCAACGCATCTGCAATTACGAATGTCCACAGATAGCAGCTGCTTCGCTATTTCATCGAATTTAGTTACTCGAGTACCACCTTACAATTATAAGAAAACACTCTTTATGTTGGTATAACAACTTCGTTACAGTCTGATAAACTTTACGGTTCACGCTTGTGCTTGTGATGCTTAAAGAATAACTTTTTAAAGTAGTCACTGGAAAGGCACAATCTAAATCGAATCATTTGGCATTACATTAACGTTATCAACACATATCCATACAACCAATTTAAAGCAGACAGCGAATAATAGTATGGAGAGCTCACTAAATATTACTCCGACAAGGAACACATCGTCGCACAAGAACGGCTTGAAGTAGATATCTTTTGTGTTTTAGGGTTCTTTCCGTCTATTCTTTATCTTTATCTTCTTCTAATCCACTCCTATATCACAGAAGAGTACTTCATTGTACAATTTTCAACACCGTTCACCACTTAATAAGAGCCATGGACTGCATTTTTTTACTTTACCTTTATTCAGTTGCAACATGTGCATTCGTTAGCACAAAGCGAATAGTGAATAGGCGGACTTTCAAACATGCATATGTATAGACGAAACAAGCTTACAAAAATTGTGAATAGGATTTTCATTCCTCTTCAATTTGATATATTCCTTTAAAAATATATTCCAGAAATAGGTTAAAAATTAAATTATTATCACTCCGAATTACTATCAAAAAAAACAAAATACGCAATCACATGTATATACCTCTTATGTTCTATCAAAAAAAGACAAAATAAAGTCTATGGGTACAGTCAGCAGCATAAATATATTATACCTTTATACGCTTTCGGTTTCAAAAATTCGTATGCACGTATCAACCACTGGCAGATATTCACATTCGAATGCATACGGACGGATACGTGCATACACATTCTTGAAACCGAAAACGTATACAAATGTCCTAATGCTTTGTATTAAACACATTTATGCAGATGACTGTACATATCCTACGACAATGAAAAACCTCAGTAACGTGGATCACAAAAACTACGATATATTTTTTAAATGTCATATAACTAACATGAGTTGATCTTAGATTCTTTTGGATATAAATACATTAGTACAGTACAATAATACAAATAACATGCCATAAAACTATTTGTATTGTTAAGGATATTCAAAGAAACCCTTCTTTCACATACCTCAAGCTAGCTTCCTGTTTCTTTCAATTTCCATTGTCTATGGGGTCTATTCAATAGCGAGTGTATTGAAATGTCTTTATGCTTTTAAATACTTATTAGAATTCGGGCGTGTAAAGCTACCTTTATTTCTATAGAGTATTCATTACAGTACAACAATGATTTTGATCGGCTTTAGCTTAAGAAATGTTTTGCATAATTATGACGGTATAATCGTTATAACCGTTTTATTATGGCTTGCACCCTGTTGCGTAAATGACTGGATAAGAGTTTATTCTTTGTTGTTTTGAATGGAGTCATTACGATATACGATCTACTAACAATCTTGATCCGAATTCGGGAATAAACATCCGAAGTTTATCATATTGCGCTGTCGCCCGTGACCTCATCCGAGCGGAATTAAATAAACAATTAGTAGCCTATGTGTTATTCCAAAATATAGTCTACACCTATGTCACATTTCAGGAAGATCTATGGAGCCGTTCTGGAGATACCTTCAACCAACCATCCATCCATCTATCCATTCATTTAAACATTAGCATTCATAATATTAGTAACATTAAAAAGTTACTTATGAACAATATCATGTAAATTATATCCATTGACATCACAACAGCGTTCTTTCAGTTTCCGAAAGAGTTTATATTGTTTTAATAGTCCTACAAGCTACGAATATTCGTAGCTCTTTCTGTACAAGCAACAGATTTTATTCCACAACATAGATTATAATAGAGATATAAAGTTCATGATTAAATTTCTTTTCAGCCAGTGGGTATATACCGTGGCAAGTACGAGTGGGCGAACGAACACAGCGCGCTGGGCGGCGACTGTTCCCTGTGGGTGCGCGCGGCAACGCTGCAGCTTGACGACGGTCAGTGGCAGTGCCAAGTTACTGCTAGCAACTATGACGTTCAGGTAACTTAATAATTCTACCTTTAATCCGATTAAAAAAATCTTCTCACTCATTCAGAAGAACATCAGCTTTTGTCAACGCATAACGTTCAATGATAAGACTTAGCTATTTCCTTCATTGAAATTTCTTTTATTAAGTCCTCCGATACTACACAAAATGGATAAACAATGTCTGTGAAATATACTAGTAGACGCTTCTGAATCCATTATCAATTAGCTAACGGATCGTGCTCACAAACAATCGGAAAAACGTATTTCGGCCTCAGGCTAGTTTTGGATCACTTCAATTGGAATTTTAAAATTCTTTTTTACCATCCTAGCTGGAGGCATTTGGAATATAAAACTAAACTCAATTAATTAACTGTATGAATAATTTCGTACATTCAAATCAAACTTTTACTTCCAATAAAAGGTATCATAACCAAAAATCGGTTGTACCAACGCCGAACAGGTATTAATTAATATAAAGCCACTAAAACTAAGTTTAATTCAATTTTCAGGATGCCCTTTCAAGTCCACCAGCCGCACTTGCCGTGCGGGTACCACCGCAATCGCCGAGGATTCTCTTTAACGGGTCCCACGTGCTGCCGGGACAGAACATCACGGTGCCCGCCGGCTCCAGAGCCACAGTCGTCTGCGAGGCTAGATACGGCAACCCGCCAGCATACATAGAATGGTACTTAGGTAAGGTCTAATTGTAATAGACTTCCGAGATACATGCTTCAGTCTAGATCAGATTACGAATTGACAACTTAATAAACTTTCATAGAAGACCATCTATTAGCATGCATTCTTTCTAAGTATCTAACAATATTTTTTTTGTTTTATCTTATACAAACTCTTCAGAATTCCTCATAATATTTAATTGTTAATGTATCTTCTATTATAGAAGTCGCGTTGACTGTGTAAATTACCGTCTATCAGTAAAAAGTTGATCTAATGCCTTATTTGTCCATGATCATTGAATGTCAAACTCTTGTATCTTACAAAATTTATCTTCGTTTCAGAAAAAGATCGTTTAACAGCATGGAGTCAGACGAATGCATCTGAAGTTGAAAGACCGAGAGTGTGGGCCGCGCGGTCCGTCCTCGAAATGGGTGCGACCAGGTCAGCGCACGGCAAGCAGCTGGCATGCCGCGCGCACCATCCCTCGTACCCCGCACCTTACTATAGAGACTCGTATACTATGCTAGATGTTACATGTAAGTAAAAAAGAAATTCATAATTTTAAAGATAGAGAAACAAACAATCAACCAACGAGCCATAAATCTTTAGTAAATTCTCTCATATATTAATTGCATTATTGGCAGGAAGAGGCATGCTTTTTTGTATATCGAAATTTTCCGATGTCATTGTCTTGAAAGTAGGAAAAAATGCGCAAACTCCTTTAAAATACTATGTTTAATTTTTCCGTAAGGTTTTGAACCAGAAAATGTTTATATTATTTTACAGTCGTTCCTGTCGTCTCCATTCTCGGGGCGGACGCGAGTGGTCTCTCCAGTCTTGAAGAGGGCTCAAGCGCTCTGTCCTTAGACTGCAAAGCAGATGGAAACCCTAAACCTTATGTCTGGTGGACGAAAGATGGACAAATAATCGCTACTAATGGCCCTAAGCTGATTCTGGCACCCGTTATAAGAAATCATTCGGGTAAGTGATATTTAAATCATATCTTATTTTTACACTGCATTAAATTACTACATTTTTGAATATTAGATTGTATATAAAATACTGGCTGCTAATTTTAAGGCTGTGACAAAAGAATACACATAGGTATACAGTGTGGCAAAAGCCGAGGAAAATTAATCAACAGAGAATTTCTTAAAAAATAACCTATAGGACCGAGACGGGTGCGGGAGGACCTAAAGGATTTTTGTTAAAGTAAAATATGCACACAAAAGTCTTTGCAATTGCACATTATGATAAGAAAATGTCACATAAATTAGAAATTTAACTCCATGCAGATAAGATCTGATGAGGGTTGCAATATTGAAACAATTTAATCGCAACTTGTCATGAAATCATTAACGTTTTAGGAGTTTAGCCTTTAATTCCAATACGTACAAAATTTTACAATAATTTTATAACATTGTAGCAAATTCTTATTATAAAATTTGTAACGAACTCTTACAATTAAATAATATCTCTCTTTCAGGTATCTACGGTTGTCAAGCAAGGAACTCCCTGGGAACATCTGATTCAGTGAAAATCGAAATTGACGTTAAATGTAAGTTTTAACCCAATTCCCAAAAAAA